CGGTGATCTCGTCCCGGGGCCGTCTTTACTTGGAGTGAACAAATAAACTCATTCCAGTGAGCACAACATGATAGCTGATATGTACCCGGAGTTCTGACTTTGGAAACTGGAGATATTTACTAAGTGCTCCCTTGGATGCTGACGTCAAAGGTATCGATGAGTTTCTACGGCTTCATCAAACAAGAATCTACCTTTTCGAAGGTACATAAGCCTAAACGAACATATTCCTATCTAATTAGCCAAATTAATCACAATTCAAGTAATTATCTACCTGGTATGTGTTTCATAGGAATGCATAGCAAAATGTGGATAAATTTGATAAAGAGGTTAAATTCCCTTTTGCCCTTATGACACTTTAATTTAAGTCACCACGACGAGAAGCATCTCAAAAGACTTACAGCAGGTAATTTTCTGTGCGTTGGCACGCTTTTTCCCCTTGGCCAATCGTCTTTCTAAACCGCCATTGTCAGCATTGTCGTGTTTCTGGCTGGCCTTACGAAGGATGCGCGGAAAATGACGTAATCGACGAAAGAACTTTTGGCAATTAGACAAAAGTTTTGCTGCACGTGCGTTGACCTTGGTGTTGCTTGCAATTGTGATGTCTGAGACAGATTGCAGTTTTGAATCCAAATCCTGCGGATCGATATCCTGCTGCGGTCGATGAGTCATGGTGACTTCGTTCGCTGCGGCCGGCCGGCCGCTATCGCAAAGGTCAAGGCCGTCTACTGCTCGTAGGCGGGCGTTTTAAATTACAAGAGCGTTTCGGGCACGTTTTTTGTGCAGGACGTGAGCGAAATGCACTCGCTTGGTAGCAACTTACGCCTTCTTTAAACTTTATGCTTGAAGAAAGGGCGTCTTTCAAGTTTTAAAAAAGTTTCTGTATTGCCATATTATTTGGAAATTTACTAGGATTCAAGGTTTTCAAAATGCGCACTGTGTACAACCCGTTTAAGGAAAGGAAGGTTTTCGCCTACAGTTTGAGGAAGAAGTCACATAGTTCTCATAAAATTTTGCAATAGATATGGTGCATGCTTTATACAGTAGAGGCAGCATTCATAAATTGAAGGACGCGATGTTTTATGAATGAACACCTCACACTCGCCAGAAAGGAATAATACGAAAAAAAGACAGAATAGCAGAATTTATTCGCGCGAATAAATTTCGAGAGCGCTTTTC